GTTGTATAAATACATTCCTGCTGACACTAGTGGAGGATGGTCTAACTGGTACCCCAGGGAGCCAAAGTCTTGGTGAGCAGAGCCAAGCTTAGGATAGCTGCTCCCTCAAAACTTATTGTAAATTCAGACAGCCTGCAGCTTGCATCTCCCCCTAAAATTACAGAAACCAAAAGTATGACTCATACTCATCAATATATATTAATTTCTTCTGAATATGTCTTGATTTTCACCAAACAGCTCTGGGATTCTTCACCATCAGACCATTTCTGTTGCGATGGGAACAGGTGCAGCCTGCTTGCTTTCTGATTAGGCATCATGTCCAGTTTGAGTCCAAAGAAGGAGAATTTTTCTCTTCTCAGCAGCCGTCTTGGTCTTGCTCTACAAACACCCTACTCATTCACTCCCATCTGTGTATTAAGCACCTGCCATGACAGAGGACACTGTGGTGAAAAACACAAACTCCCTGTCCTCATGCACTAGAGTCTAAAGAGTGACAGTCAAACGTCCTTTTAAAAGGATTTGACTCAGGGCGCCTGGGTGGCTCAGTTGGTTAAGCGACTGCCTTCGGCTCAGGTTATGATCCTGGAGTCCCGGGATCGAGTCCCGCATCGGGCTCCCTGCGCAGCGGGGAGTCTGCTTCTCCCTCTGACCCTCTCCCCTCTCATGCTCTCTCTCTATCTCATTCTCTCTCTCTCTCAAATAAATAAATAAATAAAATCTTTAAAAAATAAAATAAAATAAAATAAAAGGATTTGACTCAGAAAATCTTGATGATTTCACCACTTGGATACCTAACCACTTCAGAAGTAAAAGGGGGGGGCTGCCATCATGAACGACACAGTAACTATTCAGACCAGGAACTTCATGACCAACCGACTACACTTCAGCGGAAACAAATGGTCATTGATGTCCTTCACCCCGGAAAGGCAACAGTACCTAAGACAGAAATTTGGGAAAAACTAGTCAAAATGTATAGACCACACCAGATGTCATATTTGTATTTGGATTGAGAACCCAGTTTGGTGGTGGCAAGACAACTGGCTTTGGCATGATTTATGATTCCTTGGATTATGCGAAGAAAAATGAACCCAAACACCGACTAGCAAGACACAGCCTGTATGAGAAGAAAAAACATCAAGAAAACAGCAAAAGGACCACAAGAACAGAATGAAAAAAGTCAGGGGGACTGCAAAAGCCAATGTTGGTGCTGACAAAGAGTGAGCTGGAGATTGGACAACTGAAGGAGTAAAGATGCTGCAGTGGTTTTATCTGTGGTGATTATGCAGGTTTTTCATGAAAGGATTAATAAACTAAGAATGTTAATGTGTAAAAGAAAAAAAAAGTAAAAGGGGATTTACAATCTACTCCCAGGTCACAGCTGTGATTCAGGAGCACATACTGTTGTCCTCACTATCTCGGGAAGAAGTCCTACCAATTGTCCACATGGTAAACAAGAGATATGGATGGAGTCACAAATGGCAAGGCCCCCATTCTGATGCGGGTTACCTCCAGAGTTACCCATGCCAGGTGCCAAAGCAGTCTGACTGGCTTACAATGTTCACAGGATCATAAAAAAATATTTCACTTCCTTGTCACCTGTACCCACATATCACCCCACCAGGGCAAGCTCTTGGATACTGATGCAACAGAAGTTAGCATCTCAAGACAGCCTTCTGAGCTGGAGTGTGGAGACCATTTTTCTTCCTTTGCAGATGCTCCATCAGGGGCAAGAGATCTTAGTTTCTCCACTTCTAGGAGAAGCATCTTAAAATTGCTTTCCAGCTGAATACCATCAGTTCAGGAGAACCCATTCATCAGGGATAAGTTTCTGGATATCCCCTCCAGCCCCCATGCTCACAGGCTCCTACATCTTGTCCAATCAGCTCGCCGGTGCTGTCCAATAGAAACACAACGTGAACCACGTATGGAGGTTTTCATTTTCCAGTGCCCATATTAAAAAAGTAAAAAGAAATAGGTTAACAGTAATTTTAATAATATATTTATTTAATCCAATATATCAAAAATGTTATTTCAACATGTAAACAACATAAAACAATGATAAATGGGTATTTCGTGTTCATGTGTTGTACTAAGTTTTCGAAATCCAGTGTATATTTTACATTTCAATTTGGACCAGGCTCACTCCAAGTGCTCCTCAGTCACACATGGCCAGTGGCCGTCAACTACCACAGTGGCCGGCATAGCACTGAACCCTTCCCCCGTCTTCATTCCTGTGGGAGATCCTCAACTGGGGGTGGATTCATTTCAGCATCTTTCTCTCTCACTAAACTCTCACTAAATAGGACTTGTAAAAGTAGTAGCAAGATTTTTTAGCCTGAAATGATTTAAGAAAATTACCTCCTCCTTCACCTGCCAGGCTTCCTGCCCAGAGTCAGTGGAGTAGGCAAAAATCAAGAACACAATTAACAGTGGCAGCGAGTGAAGTACAGGAGGTTCACCAGGTAGAGATGAGACCTGCTCACATGAATTTCTAATTGTTCATTTAGGTTTTTTTAAATTTTTTATTGTTATGTTAATCACCATATATTACATCATTAGTTTTTGATGTAGTGTTCCAGGATTCTGTTCATTTAGTTTTTAAAACATAAAATATCTTATTGAAATGCAAGTCACACAATAAATATGAACAACTTAATACCTAACACACGTACACATCTCTGAAACCACCGATACAAGTCAGGTAACGAACGTGTCCATCCTCCGAAGTCTCCTTGTGCCCCTCTGAAATCCCACCCCTCCCCCAGGTGCCATTCATCTGCCTTTTGTCACTACACACCAGTGTGCACTTCCTGAATTTTATGCACACGGAGTCATACAGTGTGTACTTTCTTACGATCTGGCTCTGTTCATTCAGCATTATTTTGACACTCATCCATGTTGCTGCGTTTACAAGTCTTTATATGAACATCTCCTTTTGTTTCTCTTAGGGACACACTGAGGAGGGAACATATATGGTAAGCACATGCTTAACATTTTAAGAAACTGCCAAACTGTTTTCAAAGTACCTGCACCATTTTTCACCCCCACCAGCAGTGCCTGAGAGCCTGGTTCCTGCACGTCCTCGTCAGCACTTGATGTGAGCACCTGTTGATCTACCTAGGAGCTGGACAGTGGTGTCTCCTTATGGATTTAATTTCCATCTCCCAACAGCTAATGATTTTGGCCATCTTTTCTTTCTTTTTTTTTAAAGATTTTATTTTTGAGAGAGAGAGAAGAGAAAGAGAGCAAGAGAAAGAGAGAGATGAGATGAACACAAGCAGTGAGGAGGGGCAGAGGCAGAGGGAGAAGCAGACTCTCCGCGGAGCAGGGAGCCCGATGTGGGACTCGATCCCAGGACCCTGGGATCATGACCTGAGCCGAAGGCAGACGCTTAACGACTAAGCCCCCAGGTGCCCTGGGCATCTTTTCAAACACGCTTATCTGCTACCTTTCTCTATACTTTCTGGTGAAGTGTCTGTTCACATCACTTGCTTCCTTCACATTGAATTTTAAGAGTTCTTTACTTACTCTGTATACAAGTCATCTAAGATGTGTCACATGTTAGCACTTTCTGACAGCCTGAGGCTTGTCTTTTCATTTTCTTAACAGTGTCTTTGAAGGAGCAGAAGCTTTTAATCTTGACGAAGTCTAATTTATAAATGTTCTCTTTTATGGATTGTATCTTTGATGTCATAATTAAGAAATCTTTGCCAAACCCAAGGTCTTAACAATCTCCAACGTCTTCTATTTAGGGTGAATATTTAAGGTCTATGATTCACTTTGAGTTAAATTTTGTCTATGGTACCAAGTTCACCTTCTGCATACGGACAACCAATTGTTCAAGCAATGAAGTCATTTAATTTAGTTTTGCTTTTTTTGGTTTTTGTTTTTAAAGATTTTATTTTTTTATTTGAGAGAGAGAGCACGTGCGTGCACAGGCGAGAGCGTGAGCACAGAGGGAGAAGAAGCAGACTCTCCGCTGAACAGAGAGCCCGATGCGGGGCTCCATCCCAGGACCCTGAGATCATGACCTGAGCCAAAGGCAGACAGACGCTTCACCAACTGAGCCACCCAGGCGCCCCTAATTTAGTTTTGCTTTTTAAAGTTCTTTCAACTTGGGCTGTGTGGGTGGCTCAGCCTGTTAAGCGTCTGACTCTTGGTTTCAGCTCAGGTTGTGATCTCAGGGTCGTGGGATGAAGTCCCGAGTCGGGCTCTGTGCCTCCGTGAGGAGTCTGCCTGGGATCCTCCCCACCCCACACCGCTCTTCTCTCCCTGTGCACATGCACTCACGCGCTCTCCCTTCTCTCAAATTAACAACTTTACAAAAAAAATTCTTTCAACTTACAGAGTTGTAACAATTACTCAAAGAACTGTACCCTCAACCAGATTCACTGACCCCTGGCTCTGTGACACATTTGCTTTATCACTCCCACTTCCCACAAATTTATAGGGATTTTTTTTTTGTAAAGATTTTTAAAATTTATTTATTTGAGAGAGAGTGAGACAGAGCATGAGAGGGGAAAGGGTCAGAGGGAGAAGCAGACCCCCTGCCAAGCAGGGAGCCCAATGCGGGACTCAATCCTGGGATGCCGGGATCATGACCTGAGCCAAAGGCAGTCGCCCAACCAACTGAGCCACCCAGGCGCCCCAAATTTGTAGGGATTTTCTTATGAATCATGTGGCTTCCCCTTTCTCTGCATGATCTACTGGTATTCTAAGATCTGATTTGATAAAAGGGCTCTCCTGCTTTCTAATGAAAAAAGTTGGAGAAATTCTGCTCTTGTCCAGAATGTGAACCATAATCTCTTCCTTCTGAACACTAGATAAGCATGTTTTTTTGAAATGCTCTCTCAGAAACAATCTGTTCTGAAAACCAACTATGGGCTTAAAAAAGAGATGGGCAAAACTGTACAAAGACCAGGTTATTAAAATAAGAAACGCTGAAGAAATGTAAACACTGTGCTTTAAAAACTGATAAGGATCAATTACATCAACATTACCTTAATTCAGAAGTGCTTCTGGTCTGGTCTCCAATGCATGAAAAGTTGTCTGCAACAGACAGAGAAAAAGCTATATATGCATTGCATTCAGGCTGCGACCAACAACATTCCATACATTTGAAGGAGCATATAAATCCATCCCTTCCCTATCACCATTTCTTGTCCCAGTCATTTCACTTACTATTTGGCTTTTCAGGGTGGAAAAGACTCTGATCTCAATTTCTTTTTAAAAAATCCTTAGCAATGCCTCATGGAAAATACCTTGAACCCAAATGAACAGTACCCTGGGGAAGGCATACTTAGATTCTGTTACTAGAAAAATTACAGTAACAGTAAAAACAATCACTGCAATTCAAGAAGCTTCTGAAGTACTCTTACCCAGACTCTGCCATTAGACATGTAAAGGAATGCATCTGAACCTCAAAAGAAGGCCTGGCACTTTCCAAGTGTGGCTGGTCTATAGGGGCACACGTACAACCCACCCCTGGGCCACTCCCACCACCAGCCCTAGCCCTGGTGGCCAGGAGGCCCCCTGGAAGAGCCCCCAACTCTCCTCTCTCAGTACTGCAGCCAGAACCAAAGTACACTTAGTTCTAGATTTTTTCTGGAATATCTGCTTGTTCTTTCTCATAAACTAAGTTTCAAAACAACACTTGAAAAGGCTTTTGTGATCTCTCCAAATTAAACTGTGTGTGAAAAGTCCCATTCTGGATGTTTCACAGATTACCACCTGCCTGTTGATGGATTCACTATCTCATGTGTCTAAAACTCCCAGGCACACATCTAGTCCGGAGGTCAGGAGAGGTATTAACAAGCTGAAATGTCCCCCAGTTGAACTGTAAATTCTAAGGCATTTATTTAACAAAATCGTTTTATTTTGGAATTATGTTGCAAATGTTATTAGCAAGCACAAGCTTTTTGTCAATAAAAGTAAGTGTGGGGGCGCCTGGGCGGCTCAGTCCTTAGGCGTCTGCCTTCAGCTCAGGTCATGATCCCGGGGTCCTGGGATCGAGCCCCACATCGGGCTCCCTGCTCCGCGGGAAGCCTGCTTCTCCCTCTCCCACTCCCCCTGCTTGTGTTCCCTCTCTCGCTGTCTGTCAAATAAATAAATAAAATCTTAAAAAAAAAAAAGTAAGTGTGGAAAGAAAACAGTATGGAGGTTCTTCAAAAAGTCAAACACAGATTTGCCGTATGATCCAGCAAGTCCACTCCTAGGCATATATCCCCCAGAACTGAAAAACAGTACTCACACCTCACACCACAGTGGCCAACAGGTGGCAAGAGCTCGGTGTCCATCCATAAATAAACAGATAAACAAGGTGTGGCACAGCCACACAATTGAATATTACTCAGTCATGAAAAGGAGTGAAACACTGGCACATACTACAGTGTGGATGGCCCCTAAAAACATGAGGCTACCTGAAGAAGCCAGACACAAAAGATAACAAAGGGTATGATTCCATGTATATGAAATATCCATTTAAATGGGATATTTATATGAAATATTCTGTTTATATGAAAGAGGCAAATCCACAGAGACAGAATGCGGTGGTTGCTAGGGGCTCTGTGTACATGTGTGTGGGAATAAGACTGCTCAACAGGTACAGGGCACCCTTTGGGAAGACGGAAACCTTCTGTAAGTAGATAGAGGTGATGGTTATACAACACAGTGAGTGTGCTAAATGCCAGTACATTGTTCACATTAAACTAGTTCCTTTAAAAAAATATGCCATGAAAGGTACTTAAAAGAACACCCAAATCAGTGGGTATGGAAGCGGAAGCTGGAGATTAATCAGCAAATGGTGGCCAACTACTGGCTTTCACAAACCCTCAGTGGGGAGCTCTTAGGAGTGCACACCCACGTTGTCACTGAATTACTAAGCAATAATCTTAACTTCGGCATGACTGTGGAGTTTTAGGTTGGATCATTCTTTGCAGTGGGGGCTGTCTTGTCCACTGTGGGATATTCAGCAGCAACCCCCCCCTTCCCCAGTGTGATAACCAAAACTGTCTCCAGACACCACCAGATGTCCCCGAAAAGAATATGAGCCTAGGTAAGAGCTTTTTCTTCAAACTGGTTGTCACAATTATCCCAATCTCCAAATACAAATTCTTTCCGGTACTTGCCACATCAAGAGAGGAGGGAAAAAATTAAAATGGAAAAATGTATCATAGTTTGCTCTAATTCAAATACCTAGACTGTCTTGTGGCTTAAGGCATGAAACAAAGTTAAAGTTCCCTATTCTTTTTCTTTGGAAGAAGAAAATGGGGAGCCAACCCTCCATGAGCATTTGTCTGCCGTGCAGCTCCTATGGGCATGGTCATAGTGGGAGAAAGGGTGTGGAGACCACTATCAAACCGCCTCAGCCTGGATTCACATGTACAGCTATCTGGACTCTTTTCTGGTTAAAAATCAGACCTAGGGGCGCCTGGGTGGCTCAGTCGTTAAGCGTCTGCCTTCGGCTTGGGTTGTGATCCCAGGGTCCTGGGATCGAGCCCCACATCGGGCTCCCTGTCCCACTTCTCCCACTCCCCCTGCTTGTATTCCTGCTCTCGCTGTGTCTCTGTCAAATAAATAAATAAAATCTTTTAAAAAATAAAAATCAGACCTAAGTGGGGCTCTTTTTCTGACTAACCAGCCCAGAGGACAAGACCACTGTCCCACATGGTAGCACACATTCGTGTGATCCAAAACCAGAAGCAAGCATCACCCTTGTAGAAAATCAGGAAACTGGGTATTTAACAAAACCAAAGCTTAAGTTTCACAATGCTACTCTGCCTCCTGGAGGCAAAAGTAAGTGGAGAGGCAAGGTGCATCTTCAGACTGAAGACAGATCGGAGAGGCTGGCTGACGGGTGCCTAGGGCCCACAAGGGGGGGAGCAGGGCAGTGCCTGGCCAGAGGTGAGAAAAGATGGTTCTCAGGGCGGGCAGCGAAGAACCCTCCCTGGTTACTCTGAAGCCTGGCTACAAGGAGGGGTGCTACAGAAGTGGATATCGGGGGGGACATATGTACATGCTGAATTTTTCTCTCATCTTTTTAAAAAGTAATCCATAAGGGAAGCTGGGGGAAGATAAGGGAAGATACAGACATAAAACTCAAGAAAAAGTTTAACGGTTTATATAGCCAATTCTAGTAAAAATTTAAAATATGTAAAATTCAGGGGCGCCTGGGTGGCTCAGTCGTTAAGCGTCTGCCTTCAGCTCAGGTCATGGTCCCAGGGTCCTGGGATCGAGTCCCCTGCCCGGCGGGAAGCCTGCTTCTCCCTCTCCTGCTCCCCCTGCTTGTGTTCCCTCTCTCGCTGTATCTCTCTCTGTCAAATAAATAAATAACATCTTAAAAAAAAATATGTAAAATTCAAATCACAGAGTAAATACAAATGTCTCATTGATTTTATGAGCAAACCAAACATTTTTAATAATCCAAATGAACTACTCCTCACCCACCCTGATACTGCTGCTTTGAAACCCTCTTCCTCTTCGCTAGACGGCAGGAGCCCTGCGGTGCCTCCCTCTCGTCTCCTGCAGACAAGTCTACCTGTGTAAGCTGACACGGTGCAAAGCTTCCAGACCATTCCCTCACAAAACGACCAGACTGCTGCACACTACACCCCTTCCTTCCCAGCACTGTCTCAGGCTGCCTCTGGCTACACCTCAAACACTAGTCTTTGAAGATACGTGGGCTTCATTTAAGTGATCTATGGATCAAATCCCGTGAACATCCATCTACTCACTCCAATACATTTTAATGCCTAGGAAGTAAGACAGTGTGCTGGATGCTGAGAACACAAGCCAAACAGGCATGCTCAGCCTAGCTGCCCCCAGGGGTCTCACAGGCAAGGGGGGAGAGCATGGGACATTGTTCTATGATGCACAGAGGGGGGAAAAAAGAGAGAGGGGCTCTACCCACACAAGCTGAACTAATAAAAATCAAAAGGGCTAGTTTCACTCAAGCCTCTGCGATCCATACAAAGTCCTGGAAACATGCACAGGACAACCTGCGCCACAGGTGAAAGGCCAGTACAAGACTCCAAGGCTCAGGGAGGAAAATGCTGAGGCAGAGCATGCAGCTGACCACTGCTCTGGGGGTCAGAGGGAAAGACACGGGCCAGTGTGGGAAAGGCCACTTGACAAGAAAATGAGGGAGGTATGGTGGACTCAGTGACTGTGGGCATCATGGCTCACTTAGCTGAGATGCCCAAAAGCAAAGGTGACTAAGTTAAAATCCTTAGAGCAGATTTCCAAAGATGGAATTATTATGTCAAAGATTATGTACCTTTTGAAGGCTCTTGAAAAAATCAGCTGAGGGGCTCCTGGGATGGCTCAGTCAGTTAAGTGTCTGACTCTTGGTTTCAGCTCAGGGTCATGCATCAGGCTCCACGCTCAGCACGGAGTATGCTTGAGATTCTCTCTCCCTCTGCCCCTCCACCCACGAGCGTGCAAGCGCACTCTTTTTCTCTCTCAAATAAATAAACAAATCTTTAAAAAAATCAGCTGAGCCTATGTTTGACTCTACAGGGTTGTTAACTTAGCAATATTAAATATTACTGCGATGAACTTCTTTATACATATTCTACTACATCATGAGGTTTTAAGTATCAAATACGAGTATTCATATAAGTATTATTACTTTTTTTTTAAATCTAAAAACTGAATCCTCAGGGCACCTGAGTGGCTCAGTCGGTTAAGCGACTGCCTTCAGCTCAGGTCATGATCCCAGGGTCCTGGGATCGAGCCCCGCATCCGGCTCCCCGCTTGGCGGGAAGCCTGCTTCTCCCTCTCCCACTTGTGATCCCTCTCTCTCTCTCTCTCGCTCTCTATTAAATAAATAAAATCTTTAAAAAATAAAAACTAAATCCTCTTAAGACATATCTAAAGAATTCCTTTACAGGTTGCATTAAAATTTCAAATCAAGCAAAGTACCTTTGCTGGGCATGATTTCTTCTGTATCAACATAACCCTAAGACAAAGAACATTACTTCCCTGCAATTCTGAGACCCCAACACCAGAGCAGAACAGACACAAGGGCATTCATTAGTCCTCATCCCATT